ATCAATGATTTTATGCTAATTAGCATATTATTTAATGTTCTTGATTTTTAACATAATGAGTATTTATGAGATAAATCACGAACTATATATAATCTATCACATATAATTCTAGATAAAAATCAGCCAAAAATTCATAGATGAATTATTTACAAATTATTATTGATATTTTTGTGATATTTGAAATGTCACAACATTATATAATTCAAGTTAAAGATGAAAAATTTAAATGTTTTTCAGTTATGAGACTTTTAATATTTAACAATCTTTCCATGAAGAACTTATATCCATTACTCAATTTGAGATTTGAAAGTCTTGTTAGTAAGTTATAAAAGAAATTTTTGCTATATTGTTAGGATGTTTGTGATGATATCATTTGATATTTTTTGCATATGGCATATGTAACATCCGTGAAGTGTTTTTTAAATAAATAAATAAATAAGTATATAGAGTCCATGAAGTCTATTGTATCTTGATGATAATACTGAAGTTTATTTATTTTTATTTTAAAATTATAAAATCTAACAATTTTATACATGTATAATATCAACAAATTTGAAAATTTAATAATTTTTTAATAAATTTAATATAATTTTGAAGATATATAAGAATGTAATTTTAAAATTATTTTATAGGTGTTATTAAATATACTATTCAAATAAAAAAAAAAATTATTTTTTTTCAAAATGATTTTAATGTTAGCGATAACTTAATTGCTGACGGTGACTTCCATGAACCAAGTCAGTCATATTAAGGTTTTGGCCAATTTGTCTATGCGTCTACTTATATTACATTGCAGTACCTGAACATTTTATGTTAGTGTTCTTGTAAATGTAGACAGAAGGCCAAACCACATATTATGTGCATCTTCTCATGTGTGTGCATTTGTCTGTTCTTTAAATTTTCTCATCTTGTTCTCACGTATGTGCACTCTCTGTTGCATAAATTTTCTCATCAATTAACACATTCATAAAATGTTAATTCTAAATCATCAAAAAATCCTTAGATCATAATTTTTATTTAAAAATATTGTAAAACTATTTCATACATATCTATTTATCATATAATTATGATTTTTTTTGTTTCATTATAATTGCTAAAGTTGACAGACACAACCAAAACATTATAAAATAAAAATTTAGTTTAAATTATATATCATTTAATAAAGATCTTTGGTAAAAAAACACGTTAAATTTTATTCCAGAATTTAGTAAACATATTGTAGTATTGACATAAGAAATTCAGATTAAAAAGATTGAAGTATTGACATACGACATATTGATATTCTTAGTTTAGAATTCAAACATGAAAAAAATACTAACTTCATTGCATTAATTTAAAATATGACACTTTGCATTTGTGAGTTGACTTCAGATTATGATAAATCTATGATTACTTTTTGAAAACATGTTTTTTTTGGGAGATGAATTTTTGGATATTGAGCATAACTAAAATTTACAGCTAATAACTACCTATTCAACAAGTTCAAGGTTTTGTAGGATGTGGTTTTACTACAATCGAAAGCTTACGTTCTTCTACTTTGGGTATCTTATAGACTTATGTGCTTCCATTTGACACTTCTATAATAACTTACACTTGTTGTAACGTACTACATTACGGGAGAAGATAACACTTTCTTCAACATGATGTATAAATATTGTAGATTATATGTATTGATCTTACATACATCTACATAAATCACTAGATGGTGCATTTTAGAGTAGAAAAATCTCATAATGTGATGATTCTTAAGATGTAGAATGTTGGAGGTAAATGGGCTGCTTCTTGACATCTGATCCTCCCCCATGTAAACTACTTTGGTTTGATTCATTACGGGATCTTCCCATTCCTTTTCGACGTATTACTTGGTGTATCGATCTTAATCAATTGTAGTCGAAAACCTTAACTTAAAGGCTCATACAATAGAACTTAGACTTTGGCAGGGTCAAATTGGCGGGTGCGAGAACCGGACGTGGTAGGTCGAAAGATGCACACCTCCGACTGTAGGAACGGGCACTGTGTTCCGTGGTAACATCGTCGGATGACAGAGTTACTCGAGTGCGACCCAAATCAGTATCTGATTATAGACCTTACCATCTACTGTAGTCCCGCTGGAGAGTACCTGGAGTTGTGGACGAATTTGGTAGATGTGAATGGGTTTAGATCAGTCGACATGCGTGAGACGCGTTTCCATATCTCGGTGGCATTCGACAAAGCGCAGTACCCTTGCATAATGCAGAATATCTCATAGGTGGTAGATCGATAATACTTTGGACTGGTTCAAGGACTCCACGGAAAAGTGGCCCGGTCTCCTGCGAGGTGGGCATTCAAAATCGCTCTATCATGGTTTTCACTGAGATATATTTCACTCAATGTAAGACATGCATTCATTTCATGTATGATTCAAGTGAGCATCTTGTTGTGAGCCCAGGCTTTTCTGCTGGGGACGATGAAGTCGGCGGAATCACATAATGTTTTATCCAGACGTGATGTCGTGATAAGGACTTCGAGGAGGAATCAGCCGAAACAGGACTTTCAATCTCAGGAAAAAGATCAGAAGCTTCTTCGGTGTGATTTTGCTCGTACTAATCTTGAAGCGAGATATCGAACATAAGGCAGGAACGACCATTTGTTATTTGGAGTTGTCACAGACAGTCGACTGTTCTCTCGTTTTAGTTGCAAATTCGGTCTGATAATCCACAATCACATGAACTCCTCATAGCTTCAAAAAGTCCCGTGGAAAGTTACAGGGAACAACATCAAGAGAACAGACGTTGACTTAAGCAGGTAGCATTGTGCTCTGCGCTCGACTCTAAACGAAGAATCTAAGGGGTTTTCAATTATTCGTGTTTGCGAAACTTCGTCGGCATTTACATTGTTCCAACTGAAGGTATCAGCAGACTATACATCACACGCACTTGAAACCGAAGCTCGAAGGGTTGAGGTGAAGGATAGAAATTTATGTGAACTGAAACTCTACATATGCATGATCACAGCACGTCGGAAAGAAACAGCCTTACAGGACTCCAAGTGTATACAAGAAACCTGTGCATGACCTGTTAACAGAGTGATCTGTCGATCTCAGGAGACTATATTTGTAAGTTTGGACCTGGCCACTTGTGCTTTCGTCGTGACTCGCCTGCACTGTATGCCCAGTTGGTTCAAATTCTCACGTACACAACAAACATCTTAGAAGCCCACGCACAAAGAACTACTGCTGAAATTTGTACCTCTTCCAAAAGTGGGCCGTTTTGTGTAAGCCTCAAGGCCGGCGGGGAACGGACCAGACTCCTGCACATTGTGGCACACGGTAGATGTACTGCTCGCTGATACGGAGCGCACCAGATTGTGCAATGATTTAGGATTTTCGCTGCACACTTCGGTAAGATTTCTCATCTAGACAAATATACGATCCTATTCCTCGAACTCTGCGCGTTAACTGCGTTCCTGGTGTTGATGCAAGTCACAAGGGAAATCTATCTGAACGATCTGGAAATACACTGCCTCATCCCTTTTTGTATCTACAGGTCTGTAATTGTTTGGAACCGTTAGACTAAGACATCTGTTTACATGTCTCTCCATGCATCAGTGTTACAGTATCCAGCGCCTTGCGGATTCCAGACCGGTGCCTGGATGTAGCAGTAGTGCCTGCCTCTACGATTTTATCTCAGAATCCATCGCATCTCTATCAAAGGACTATCAAGTAGTCGGAAGCGTAAAGACTGGAAGCGAATCGGAATAAGGTTTTTATCTTTATTGTTACCGACATTCTCTGCTTACATCACACCACACGAGGCCTGTGTAGGACAATCCTGGTGCTAGCTAGTGTATCAATCCATGATACAGGACGGCTTATGCAGGCGGAGTGATGATGAAGCTCATCAGCCGCACACGATAAGGATTGCCCGCTGTCGGAATTTACCCATGATAAGGACCCATGGGGCACGGACTGGCTACCTTCAATGGCAACCGGTCGACCGGCCAACCCGGTGAAGGCCGCCTGCAGTTGCATATCGCTTTCCCGAATTTAGTGCCACAAATTTCCCTAGGCAACAGTCAGATTGAAGCTGTGGATTCCGAACGGTGGAAGTAGCCCGAGAAGTGAGCAACCAGATCATGAGTTCTAATTGTGGACCCGAATTGCCCTTTTGGCCTCGAGGGCTCGTCGATGGGGCGGATGTCCTGCACTCAGATCATATAGTTTCGAGGTCTAAATCCGGCTCCGCATTGGACTGACCATGCAACTCTGGTGAGTCATGGAGGCGGAGGTGGTATGGCCGAAAGCGACAAGAATTACAGAAGGCAGGCAGGTCCGCTCTGAATCGACGCTGGTCTCGCGGGCTCCGCGTGCCAATCGGAGGTAAAGGCTTGTGAGGGGGAAAAAGTTGCCACTTTGCTTTGCCACAGATCGTGGAGAAGGTAAAGTCGGACTCCTACAAAAGAACATCGGCACGATGGCCGGTACAGTCGCCGTTTTCTGCTTGGAAAATTCGAGCCTCACGAGCACGTCATTATGATGTGTGGTTTTGTGAGCTCCGATCTTCTAAGCGAGTCAAAGTTGCTGTACAGTCGGGGCTGTGCCGCATGAGGCGGACTCGACATTTTTCGAGAGAACGGAAGAGTAGGCGAGAGTAATTTGAATAGGTCTACCTGGTGAGATTGCGGCCGAGATGGACTGGCCGCAGTTTCGAGGAACCCATCATTGGCCTCAGCAATATCCTTTCCATGCTATGGTTTGATAAGTTTGCCCTGCCCCCTGTACAAGGGACTTGGATGCTTCTATATGCTGAACGACCGAAGAGTGACAGTGTTATTGACGTGGTGCGCTGAATACGCTAATTCATGCCCACGTCTGATGGCGTTCATCTCTGCGAGGACGGTGGACGGAGGGTAAGTTTCGCGCAGCCGCGTGAATTGCTGAGTCGAGTCTGGGAATCCCTCCCTCCATGGTAACAAACACGTCATATATGAGCTCCCATCTCACTCATCCCAAGACATTCGAATTCTCTCTGCCTCTCCTCACGAGAGAAGAAGGAATTCTTATAAAATACATCTCTTGGAGCACATACTAGCCTCACTCTGTCAGAACCCGCTCTGATTTCAGGCTTGCACTTCTTCAGTCAGTGCAGGACTGCATTGAGATTACAGAAGAAGTGCACAGCATTGGCGTCGGGTGCCGTAGGCAAGATGAAGCTCGCTCTGCTGTTCGTCTGTTTCACTGCGTTCTCCGCCTCGTCCTCGCTTGTGCAGGCGTCCAAGTTCTGGGACGACTTTTATGTCACTTTCGGGCAACAGAATGTCAAATATCCAGGACGTAATACAGGCGAGATTGTGGATTTGGGCCTCACCAGAGAAACTGGTATGCAGTCACGTTGAATTTTTCAAATGCATTTGCTCTTGACTCTGGGGTCAAAAGTGCCTGCCGACCAATCTCAGATTTCACGTACCCGGAAACTCCAGATATTTTCTTGGCTGCTGACATGTTCTGATCTTCTGTTATGTACTTTATATTGTGCTTCTCTTCAGGATCTGGCTTCCGCTCGAAGTATCCCTTCATGTTCGGCCATCTCTCCATGAAAGTCAGGCTCGTGGGGAAGAACTCTGCCGGGACTGTCACTTCTTACTATGTAAGTCGTTTACTGAAATGTTAAAACCCAGCAGTCCGCAGGAATTTGAAGCCGATTAGATGCATAGTCATAAAATTCCATCCACCGATCACTCCAGGGCCTTCATCAGTCCAGCCGCCAGTTGCATCTCGAGAGCTGAACTCGTCCGTGTGATAATCTATGTATAGTGAGTGCATGGGGAATTCAACGGAATGCAAGTATTGAAAGATATTCAGACAAAACTGTTTCATACTGCTCGTCACTACAGTCGATGTTTGCAACAGTCGGATAAGTGTGGATCAGAAGACATGTTTCTCGGGCTTCCCCCAACAACAACAGTGTCTGCTGCTGCATTCTCCTGCTCTTCTGCATGGCATTCGTATCATCGAGGTTGGTGTGGTATCGTTAATATGATGAGAAAACCGAAGCTGACTGTATCGTACACATGGTCTGCAGATGGCATCGACATTCAAGAAATGGTGTGAGTTGGACTTCGAATTCCTTGGGAACGTCTCAGGGCAGCCCTACATTCTTCAAACCAACGTGTTCGTCGAAGGAAAGGGTGACCGAGAGCAACGTATCTACCTGTGGTTCGACCCCACTGCCGACTACCATGAATACGGCGTCCTGTGGAACCAGAATCTCGTCCTGTAAGAAAAACCTCTCGTGCTTTGCGTTTTCTTCTAGTATGCATGTGCTGCTGCTACTTCTGACGTGATCTAATTCTGTCAAGTCTGAGCTTCATAGCTTCCATTCTGAAGAGCGTTTTCTGCTGGATCTGAACCGGTCAGAAATCATCTGTGAAGTTGCCATGTGAGTGCGATGTGATGGATGAAATCAGAAAAGGGTTTCGTGGGAGTGACCCGTCGTGTATTTGCTGCAGATTTCTGGTTGACAACCGTGTTATTCGGGTCTACCACAACCAGAAGAATGTGGGAGTTCCTTACTTGGATTACCAACCGATGTACATTTACTCGAGCATCTGGAACGGAGAGTCGTGGGCAACACGTGGAGGTCGGGAGAAGATCAACTGGGCCGGTCAACCTTTCCAACCATCGTACACTGCTTTCAATGTCTCGGATGCTTGCCCTGTGAAGAACACATCCGGCTATAGTGATCTTCATGGCTGCTACTCGAAGGTGTACCGGAGTCCATACGGTCGGAGACCCAACCTGGCCCTCACTCAAACTCAAATCAACGACCTGAGACGCATCAAAAATGGATTCTTAATCTATGACTACTGCACAGACTTGAAGAGATTCAAGGGCGTAGCACCCCGAGAGTGCGCCAAAAACTGGCCTTGAGCTCCACCACCACTAGAACTCAGTTACTGCCCGTCGGTCATAATCATGTGCTACACTATAGGTGATCTCACTCGTATTCTTCTTCTACGAGATTTGAAATTAGAGCTAATGGAACCAAGCTATAGAATTCCGTACTTTGACCCAGAGTTATCCTCAATACGACAATTGCAGCTTGCATGTGGGGATAGTTATTCTTCAACAAGAGAGGCTGACAGGTTCGTTCAATGAGCTAAAAAATTCTTCGTGTGATCTCTTCATGCAAGTCCTAAATCTTAAGTTTAGTGGACTAAACGTGGATAAGAACCGATCGTACTTCTGCCGGGGAGCTGGACATTTTACGGTAGTGAGATCTTGAAAGGTGTACTAGGTTAACGAAGTAAAGCGTAATGTTTGTAGTAACTTCTATTACAGAAGTTTAATCCAGTGATTCAGGTCGTGTAAAGGCAGACGAAGCACGATTAATATTCTATTTTTGTCTTGCGAGACAATAAAGTCGAGACAAGATTCTTATGAATTTTTGTCTTGCGGCCAAGTTGTTCCATGATCAATCTCACAAATCCAAAGTTTTGTCTTTCCTGCGGTCGTTGTGCTGCATGATTGATCATGAAACCTGAACTTTCTGTTCTCACACCTGGCGTTATACTACGAAGTGGTGCTGTCACTGCTGTCTTTGTTGCAAAGCACACGTTCCCTGGTGCACTTGCGTCCTTTCCATCCCTCTTCTCGCCTTTTCTCATCCTGTCTCAATCGTTTTTCCTGCATGAACCTGTACTGGGAGATTGTTCGAACTAGAATGACTATTAAGTGCGTCTGTGGCTCATGATCTTCCTTAGGATGCGTCTATCCTCCCTGTTTTTCTCCAGTACTCCACTTATGATGGTTAAAGACTGATCATGTGTGGGAAAAATATCAAAATATGCAATCTGATTGTGACCAACCGAGTGGAGAAATCTGTTTTTGGGATGCAGAAGTAGAGGTGGGCAGATGACTCTCTCTGCCTACTTTTTCTTGACATGTCGAATGTATTACATGATATTCGGTAGTGAATTATACTTGTATATTAATTTTAACATAGGCAGTTCGAAAATTTGGTTGAGGGGAGAGACAATAGAGAATATATAGGGTAAGAAGGAAGAAATATAATGTTACAGTGGTGACGTCATCGGGCTGACATTTGGGAATTTTTTTGCATTTGACGGACATCACCACCAAGGACATTATACCATACTAATACAACGGCCCTCTGCTTTGTATTACTGTCTATGGTTTCCATGCTCCGCCAAGACCCCTTCATGTCCTACCATCACTACATAGGGTGTATGAACCCTATGAACCCCATGAATGTATGTATATGAAGATGTAGAACTTCTCCGTTTCGTTTTGAGGACTAGCCTTAAAACTAGCGGACAAACTTCAATTGTACGAACTACACCCGGAATTATGAACTTCTGATAAATCGGCTGCGAAAGGGTGGCACTCCAAAAGGGTGACACAAATACTAACAAATTTCAGTGGGTCAACGAAAACATTGGATGTGTTTTATGCAAAGACAAATATGTTAGTGAGTTCAAACATTTAATCACAAGTGTTTTCATTGGAGAAATTTCAGTCTATTTAGAGTTTGAATTAAATACATCCTTGCATCTCAAGGTACTACTTTCTCACATATTCATTAAACTCGCTGGACTTCCGCCGTCGACTGGGATCGGCAGGTCAGGTGCACGATCTCCAAGGATAACAAGTTGTTGACATTTTCCATACAGGAAGAAATTTTTTCGGTAGCAGCAGATTGATTTGCACATGCAATGGTTCATATGTTCGACAATTTAGAAGTGAGAAAGTTATGAGGACTTTTGGATGACAGGGTTTTGAGAATAAACTTTTCGATAATGTGTGGGTTTCAGCTGGAGGGCTCCAGTTTGTAAACTTTGAAGGCTTCAAACCATTGTTTTTAAAGAAGGAAATTCTTTACCAGCCTGAATGCGCTGAGTTGTATCCGTATAAGGTGGAAAAAGGTCCAGTTCCTATGTACCTTAAACTCAAACTATCGCGGATGAATCGGGCCATGTCAGCATAAGAAGACTCAAGCAATGGCACTGTACTGAAAGATTACCATGCAGTTTTATCCGAGCAAATGTGAAGTTGTTAGGCTACGAGTTCCCTGAAGTATGGCGAGTGTGTACTTATTTCCCGATATCTCCCTAAGATGTCCACGGGAGCAGATCTATCCCTCGAATTCACCAGTTGAATTCCAGCAATAAACGATACCTTCCATTCCTATTCCCAGCTAGAGGCTGAACACAGCATCGTATTCACCACAGTGGTCTCTGGTGTCCATATCAACAACTGTAGCAAGCTGTATCCTATTGAGAGATAAAGTAAAAATGATTAACACCATTTTCCGACATCTCCTCCGAACGTGAACAAATTATATCAGCACACTATTCGACGGTAGATTTGACTATCAAGAATACTCAGTGGCAACTTGCCTTATACAAACATTATCTGCATGAAGGCACTTGCATGAGAGTTCGATTCTTGGCATTTAAAATGCGCTAGTGGAGTGTAATTTCCTAGAATCGGGCAGGACGATGACCATCCATGTCACTAGGAGAACCTGGAGCTCCAAGGGCGCATTAAGAGGAAGGAAGGTTTATTCATTTACTCGTTGGGTTGCCGAGAACTACAACAATATGATCCATGTTTTGCGATCAGGAGTTTGCCATCGTGCAAATTGTACGCTCTCGCTTGAAAAACGGCAACGTTTTCTGGGAAGTGTGCGTATCCTGCTCAGCATGCATTTTGCTGAAACAGAGCATCTTCCAGTACCTGATTATGCTTCTATACTTGCTGTGAACTGTACAGGGCATGTGCAGCCATCGACTTCAGTTTTCTAGAAACCATCCACACAAAGTCCGCGCTTACTGCTGTGGAAACAAATGACCTACTAGCAGATATAATGAAATATCAACTTGATATATTACAAGGAGTAAACTCTGGAACTCTAAAGGAAAAAATCGATGCTTCATATCCAAAACTAAATACCATTCTGAATCTGAAGACGTACATCCCCGCCACCGACCTTGTTTGTTGGTCCTGGACCGGATGAGATCTGGAGCTGCGATGTGCATGCACAAGGCTCGTGATTCGTAAATATTCTACAAGTAATAATTTCAATTCGGTCCATTGAATCAGACGTGGCTGAAGACCAACTAGAAATTAACAAACGATTCATGGACAAAATACTCTTCTGCTTGCGAGGAATCCGAGTTTAGTTCAAGTCCCAAAGATTTCACATATGTAGTCAATTGTGAGCTCTGATCATTCAACGGCAATCTCATACAATCTTCAACGCAGCTTCACATTGGATCCTACCTTAAACCCTCCACCGGCGCCCGAGATCTTTCCTTTTTCGATTATCAATCCTTTATGGGATATTCTACTGCGTACGTACATTTCTCACTACACGCGGGGACCATATTCTTCCCAATTCTCCATCCCGTGAGATAAACAAATGACCCCTGACTTCGTATCTAATTACGTCCGTAGTCCTTATAGTCTTTTACAAATGTAGCCTTATTCGTTGAAATGGCCTCATTAATCTATAGCTGCAACCAAATCACTTCAAGTTCTGATAAACTTCTCGGAAGTACGTAAAACATAGAAAGTCTTTCTATCCCCATCCGAAGTTATATAACGGAACTCTTTGGGTCTACTCATTGCCTCCAAATATGGTCACACTTCTGAATCATATCTTTTTGTGATCCTGTTCAGAATGTCCTGAATGGACATATGCTTCAAGCTTAAAAACCAACAGCAAAGGAGTTGCGAATAGTAAGATTGTGAAAATTGTAAGGTATACCGATCCACGAAACCTTGAATAGATTCTTCTTGTGATTGCTCAGTGTCGAACTCCAACGCTGAGCTCAACGAGCAAGGTCTCATCGAACCCTCTTTCAGGTTGAGAATGCGTTCTCTCGTGCAATCTCTCCATATATCCGCTGCAGCTACCTTGGTTCCCATGTAGGCGTGCGTACAATTGAATTGATCAATTCCTACTGGAAGTCAGTCCGTCCGGTGATCCTGTGACTGTCCTGTATCCTGATGTACATATGATCCGCGTCTGTTCCACGAATCAAAGTCTGCACATCTCCAAATCACAGACTCTGTATTAACTCCTCAAAGCTACTGGCGAAGTTGCAATTGGAGAGAGGGAATTTGACAGTAAAATGCAAAACACGCATTGATTTACTCGACCTCAAACTTGCATCTCATCTCGAGCACAACGATACCGTCAAAGGAACTGCTAAGCGAATTTTGCTAAGCTCCAGCCTCACTTGCTGTTCCGACTAAGCTCTGGTTGGAAGCTTAGCAAATAGAAGAAGGGTCAGGGAGGTGATTTTCACTTCAAACTTTTTTTGACATTGCGACTTCTGTAGTTATAAAGTCTCGATGGCTCGAAGCGCGGAGTTCTTACAGAAGAAAGGTCTGAACGTTTGGTTTACACTCAACTTATCACGGTCTGCCCTGTCGCTTGGACGTGCCCACCTACGAAGCTGCAAGTGACTTCATAGAAACCGGTGGGTCCATCTTACAATTCCAGATCATTCATCTTGGACAAGAGCAATGAAGCGTTGCCAGAAGTCGAACTCAAAACACATGCTCGTAGCTGCAACCTCATTTTTCCCCGTCTCTCCCCATCAGAACTGGTAGGTAGAACTACGCACCAGTCGAGCTCCCTGAGCATTGAGCTGTATCTTGGCCTACGGACAATAATGTAGGTAGAGAGAGTCAAAGCAAAGAAAGCAGGCCCCTTGGTGAAGCAGGGATTGAATCTCTCACTCTTCCCGGTGATAACGTGGAAGTAGACAGAACAGAGACTATTTTGTGGCTGAAGGTCGTGCAAAGTAAAGCAACGTCGTTTGGTAATCCTCTCAACGAGAAGCGCAATTCCTTATGTTTTCAAACGAAGTCCGCATATTAAACTGCACGTGAATATGAAAAAGTTCGAATACCAAATAAAAGTACGTCTCAGAATATGGATATGGACGACATTCGGTATCATGGTGGGAGACAAGAGACTGATGAGGGGCTCGAATTTGGAAGGACCTTTGCAGTTTTGTACCTGACACCTCTGAAATGCCACGTGTAACTGGTTCTGGAGATCGTACGTAGGTGGCATACGGATTGCCACACACACAGGCCACTATTTGACGGATTAAGCCTTAGCATTTGGAAGCATGTATCAGCAAGGGATCAGCATTCATTTTTCCACCGAACTTCACCAAACTACAGTCTGCGACTTTGACAAAATCATTTCGACCATGTACTTGCTGAAGAGGACGGTGGACATGCAGTGCCTTCAGCACATTTCATTTAGCGTATTTTCCACATTCGGGAAAAATGAGACGCGTAGACGAATCAACTATACTATTGGCTTGGTTACTCCATGATCGGTATTTAAGAGGAGTAATTTGATATAAGTTAAATTGATCGGAAGTTTAACTTATTGATTTCAAGTTCTACTTGCTGATTGTGGAGATCAGAGCCAGGCTGAAGCAATTTGTTGACCTGATATTGTATTGACTCATTTGTACCGATTACAAAGAGAGGAGTGACTCAATGTGATTCGATGTTGAAAGAACAATGTTTTGTAATCTCTAAAGAACCTTCTAAATGTAAACATTTGCTATTGACACTTCCCATACAACCCATACATATATATAGATTATCATCACTATCATACACAACTTTTGTTTTGGCATTCTAGTTTTCCGTTTCAAATGTAAATATTGTTCTATCCGAAGTGGAATGCAATGCATATAAATATACTTGTACGTGAATTATCCATACTCTCATGCATTAACAAACGATACATAATCTATTCATAATGACATTACATATAGATTTGTACTACTTTACAAATTGACATCCGGAACCAAAGTCACATATGGGTACTAAAGATACATATGAAAGGATAAAGTGAAGTGAACCCCCTGCATAATTCAGTCAAGGTGTATGAACAAGCACCTTTGCCAAAGCAAGTATACAAACCCTAGTGTTCCTGTGAATAAACGGCTATACTAAAAGGGAGTGTAGAATTTGTTGTAAAAGGCACTTGATTATCATATACTAATCAAATGGGTGGGCAAAGAGGGGAAAAGCAAGTAGCTACGCTGTGCCTCATTGAACGAAGTATCTGTAATCTATTCAATAGTCTCATGAGAAAAATAAGTCACTTCTTCATATACATCTCAAGGATCAACCAAATGTGTCTGCAATCTTAACCTAAACATGCCCAAATGACTATATGTCTCATCTCTTTACCATTTAAAATAAATGTAATTCCTTTAAAGAAAACGCAGCCCAAACTAAAGAAATAATAATTCTTTCCCATTATACACAAACATCCATGTTATATCAATGCAATCAAAGATCTTTGTGTTATTCATATAAAAAGTTATCAATATTAGCATGTGAATAAGTAATCGTGAAAAGTAGTCAAGATGACCAAGGATTAAGATCAATAAAAATTATTAAATATCACATGCAGATTTTATAGAAAGGCTGTCTGCATATATATATATATATGTTGGCAGAATCTGTGTGGAGGTTTCAGAAGACAAAATTCTTGGAATCCAGTCTAATGTCATGAATATGAAGCTAGATGTTTATATAAATAATTGAGTTCTAGAATTTAACACCTGGAGTCTCAAGGCTATGAAATAAAACACTTTGTCAGATAATGCAAAACATGTGTATTCAGAACTGAAGGTCACACGATGCGTCTTTCTCATGCTAAGAAAAACATACACCCTTAAACAAGAAAGAGTAGTGATTGAAGAGTTAAATCAACAATCATGACAAATAATGATATTCTCAAAAGCTTCTTTTATTATTTTGTCGACAGGTTTTCGACAATCTTCCTCTCGGGAGAAATCTCATAATGAAAAAAGAATGAAGAATAATCATATTAAGATGGTTAAAGATCCACATAACCTTTAAAGTTTTTTTCTAAACTATGATGGACCCAAAAAAACTAATGAAAATTTTCTCAACATCTTTCTTGAAAGTGTACGATGATTTGTATTCTCAACTACACCAATTCACAATCTTTTGTTGCAGCAAAACCAAACCTATGTTGAAAAATTGTTGGTTGAAGTTAAACTGATGATGATGCATGCAAATATAACAAAAAGGAGACTTTTCCAATAGTTTACTATACAATGCTCTTACTTCTTTTTTTAAAGTAATTGAGAATTATTTCTTATTTGAGAAAATTGTGGGATTATCTTTCATGTCTTGCAATGACTGTATACCCTGTTATAAAATCGTTGTGCAAGTAGAGGGGAACAAATAGCATTCTTTATCATCCATGTTAAAAGTACCAACTTATCAAGTCCTATATCTAGTATAGTCATAAAGCGAAAGAGAGAGTATGTTATAACCGTGGGAAAAGAATCTAGACCTAAATAAAGAATTATATTGGCAGTTAATTACTCGCAAGATTTTACTGGTATACATGAAACAAAATACAAATAGATTGAAGTAGAGTGTGATCGCATGCCTTCCAAGTAGTCTAGTCATACAGATTATGAAACTTATTCAGGGTGGATAAAGAGTATATTACACACCATCCACGATCTTTCATCTGCCACACAAGCTATGGAAGACACTGACTACCTAGCACAAAGATCACGGTAGTCACAGTTGGTATTCCATCACGTATCTCCTCAGAAATTTCGAGATCACAACCCCCGACATCCCACCTCACATCTGGGAACGCGTAATCTATCTCTCGTAAACCTATAATCCAAAAATCATCATAATATTCTCACTGATCTCTTCAATTATCCAAGAAATGAGCCATTGCATGTGCAAAGCAATCTGCTGCTACTGGAAGATTTTGGTCCATTTTGGAAAATGTCAACAACTCAGTCTCCTCGGAATTCCTATTTCTTGACCTACATATGCCAAGAAAACCGGCGGAATCCCAACAAGTTTAATAAAAATGTATTACCTTGAGATGCAAGGATGCAAACACTAAATAATTTGAAATACCCGAAGTCACTCCAATAGAAACACTTGCAAGTAGATGTGTGAACTCACATGTTCGTGAGTTCACACATGTATGAGGCCAACCAAAACCTATTATCATATCGTATATATGATGATTTTTTTAGTTTTAACGAGAATATGTAAATGTCAAAGTTATGAGTTCTTGCGTAAATCTATAGGCTCGCCACGATTTCACAACTGATGTATCACACGTTTGTAAATCTGGGTGAGGTTCCTTCTCTTGAACTTCTCCGGTGAGTTTCAAGGCTTGTTCCTCTATTTTTCTAAAAATATAATTTGAAATTTTGAATGGTTGAGTTTTCTCTTCTTCTTTTTATTTCTTTTTCCTTTTAAACACATCACCACTTAACAGTCGTCTAATATATATTATTGTTATGTCCAGGTTGAAGGGCATGAAGGGGCGGTGGCGCAGTTGGTTAGCGCGTCGGTCTCATAGCTCACCGAGAAATCCGGAGGTCGAGAGTTCGAGCCTCTCTCGCCCCATCTTTTGCTTCGTCGCTATCCAATGAGAGACTTGGTGGCACTAATTCTGCTTTTCCATTCTCTCGTTTGAAAACTTTTTTAAAGTTTGGGAAACAATGACACAGGAGGACATGATCTGCCTGATTGTGTGCCCCACCTTTTGCTTCGTCGCTATCCAATGAGAGACTTGGTGGCACTGATTCTGCTTTTCCACTCTCTCGTTTGAAACTTTTTTAAAGTTTGGGAAACAATGACACAGGAGGACATGATCTGCCTAATTGTGTACACCCGAGAACGATGTCTTTGTACTTCGCTGGGTGCTCTGTCATCACTGGAACTCTATCCGAACGATGACGACGAGAAGATTTACAAACTCTCGCCCATATGGCCCATGCTAAAGCCGGACAGACAGTGATTGAGGTCAACTTTCCACGCACGAGTTACAAACATAGATGAAAATTAACAGTAAGATGATTAATCCTGGCAAAGAACGAGCAATGACACTACATGTATTTGGTGTTTCATTTATCAGCTTGTACTCGAGAGGCATACTCTTTTGGTTTTCGCCTTATCATCTTTCTGTCGAGAACTCCAACAACAGGATCAGCAGCTGATCTTCTTCCTGTCTTCGAAAGATCTAAATAGAAAGCAGAAAGATCTAAATAGAAAGCAATAATACCGAGTTTGTGCTTGTACCTGCTTGCCTTTTGGTGACGGCTTTCAACCTTCTCTGATTGGCAAGTTGTGAATTTACCAGTTACGAGTGCTGTCTGTCAATCACCAACAATTAAGTTGATTCAGTGATAGTTGGGATGCTCAGTCTGTCCTCTGTCTACTGCCAATATATGTATGTAAGCTGCTGAACTACACCCAGCTCAATATTGGTTCAAATCGTCTTTGTGATCTGAACTACTTCCACTGCCATTAATCTGCTCGGTGAGCGAGTAAGTTAATGTGTAAAATCCATTCTCTGCTTGCATCTATAGCGCAATGCATTCGGTTGCATTTGCAGCTAGTATCTATGGAGGATATATGAGGAGAATATATGGGACAGAAGACGTTGCATTTGCAGCTAGTATCTATGGAGGATATATGAGGAGAATATATGGGACAGAAGACGGAGTTTTAAAACAGGGGTCTTATTTCACATTATTAGTCGTAACTGAACATACACCATTCTCAGTACAACCAAAATTTTGTTTCCCCAACATACGAGGATTTTTTGTAGCGCGTCAACATTGAGAACATTCAAATGGTAGGTCGAAGGAATAAATCATTAGAAAACCTAGAGGGTGTACGAATGTATGGGATATATTCCCGTCTAATTTTCTAGAAGTATTATATCTACCCTTGGTACTACTTGGATCGTGTAACGGATGAACCGTCCAAGAGTGAGGAGTTTAAATTCGTTATCTGATGGACTTCCTTCAGTAAATTAACATCTGCAGGAATAAATGGATACATAAATCGATCGAAATCTGAGGTGACAGCCCAAGCCACTCCGCTTGTGGGAATCCAATTGTATTGCTGATTGATTGGTTTGAGAAGTTGTCAGGAAGAGACATGGGTTTGAGTTAGCAAAGTAGCGATCGTATACAATGAGTTCATACTAACCAGTTTTATGGGAAAATCAGTGATTAGGTCTCTCTTTGAGAATGAGACAGAACCAGACAGTCACCGTAAAATTGCTCATCCTCGATCGTGGCACAACTAAGGTACCTTAGATCGATGTCTTAATGAGTTAGAAATCCACTCCTTCTCATAATTGAAAAAAATCGGATATTCAAGACATACCAAACCTTCTCTTGCATGAAAGTACAGAAGACGGATGGATTTCAGTCCGTTCTACTCTGATCTGAAAGTAAAATCCCAGGCTGCCACAGGCATGTCTCGAGCACTTTTAGTAACACTTTCTTCGCATTCAACAACTAATACACTTCCGTGCAGCACTTCTATCACTTCAGACTTCACTTAACTTCCTGTATGTTCAGTGGATAATTTCAGAGAACGCTGGAGATCCGGGGTTACATGACACTCATTACCGTATAAACTGACCAATCGTCACTTTACTAAACGGCGCTTGATTACCTCTACTTTCCTGAGGTGGTTGTTGTGGTGTTCGCGTCGGATACAGATCCCAAGAAACATTTTGCAGTTTCAGGGTTGCTGAGGTTTGAATCTGCGAGGATCGGATCTCATGTGTAGATGACTGTCAAGAGGGCATCATACAGAAGAACGAACCTGCAACAATGTCACATTGCCCTCAAAAGTGATTTCTCAGCAGGGTGACCTCTGTGGCTTCAAGTCAAGAAAAGAGGATTCGATACTCAACCATCAAGTCTTCAGGTAATCTTGACTAAACTGCACATAGTGGAGTTTAGTCAAGAGGATCTGAAGTCTTAATTGTTGAGTGTCTTGATGGCTGAAAATATTACTTTTTCAGCTTCAAACAACATAACAAACCTAAAATTCCCATCATCAGGCTGATGGGAAAACAAGGATGATAAGATACAAAGAAACATGAAACCTTCTGCAGTTTAAGTAAGATTACACCTTCCCGCTGCACAGAAGACCAGAAAGTTTCCAACAGAATATACCCGTGCGTACAGTCAGAGAAGTAAGCGAACTCTACACAATGCCATAATCCAAGTCCACTATAATAACTCTCAAATCTTCAAATGGGTGATCGTCTGCAACGTCTTACCGAGAAACACATGGCAAGCTAATCCATCACAGAATCCGCATGCGATGTGGATAACATCCTCAGATACAATTGAGGCCTTGCATCGCCAGCAGCGCAGATCCGATAGAGTAACAAAGGACACTTACATACCTCCTGCGAACGCAACGATCACACAGCCGAAGTGGCCGTCAGGGCGATTCATCACATTGCTCTCATCAGAGACTTAAACCCATGTTTATATCCACGAGCATTCGAGTGAAGCGTTTGAGACACGAGACGTCACCGAAATGACAGATCACGGGATGTTGATCTTCGTTTGGAGAACTCTTGTCCACAGTCTTCGTCCGTCGGGAACCGGTATCCATACCGCAATGGCAGGTTCGTGTACTGTTAGCTTCTGAGAACAATATCGACCACGAAATTTCGATCAAAAAGAAATCTGAGTTTATATTGGGAAAGAGTGTTCACAACCTTTTGAATATCTCTTGCAGGTTTTTCTTTCTTACGTTTGATTCAAACCTCTTTTGCGTACTTCAATACAGATAAGGAGTCATGGAAGAAGCTAAAGGAAGCTTTACAAATACCGACCGATCCAAAATTCAAGAGTTTTCCCTTTTTAAAGAATTTTCCATTAGAGTGACTGATGCACATTCTGCAAAATACGAGCTTCTTCCATATGGACTGAAGACGTGTGAATAGTGTTGAAAGTAGATAGGGTATTTCAAATAATTCTCAACCAAATGCACATAAAGGTTAAGGATAAGTGACACATGATATATCAATGAGTATTACGATGAAGTTGTTAAAGTCAAGATATGAATCAAATCATATTCTAATTAGCATATATATGAGGATGTACAAAGTAGCAAAACTGGAATGTTTGCGAAGCAAATTCGGCATATCTTCAAAATAGTTTTAGTTGGTAAATTTGGTTTGTAATCTATGCAGATTTAAACAGTTGAAACAACTCAAAGCAAAAATAATCATTACTATTATATGCGGTTATGTTTTGCATCTTCTTTTGCAAATGTGAGCAGGATATTAGTGGATGCTAAGATTTTGTTTATATAATGTATAATCTAAACCACGGATTTGTAACTTACTTCATCGAAGTCTATCTTTCACTTACTTTAAGTGAAAGATATTATTAAGCACATTGATATAAGACTAACTATCATGCTGTGAGCATGCTATCCCATAACATATGGATTTATATATGTCTTTAATTTTGTTCTCGCGTGGACAACATGAGTCTTCATGGTTATGAACTTGGACTCATATGGATATAAGCTATGTAAAATACTGGAAGAATTCAAGAGAACCAGATGTCATCCTTGCAAGCATGACGAGCATCGTCATTCTTCAAGATGCCAATGCTCTTTGTGGAGAGACACGAATAGAAGGAAGTCGGAAGTCCTGCCAAGACAGTGATGAGAAAATAGAACTAGAAAAGATATCTTTCTCCGAACGTAGCCTACATGCAATAGAACAATGACGAGGCATCATGCATTTCCAAGCAAAAGTTCGCTGGGCTGGTTTGACTTGTTAAAGCTTAGTGATGGACAATTGTGGTCGACAAGTTTTCTCGATACAAAGTGCGTGAGAGGAAAATATTCACGATCACAAAAGGCAACAAGGTTAGTGAATGACACCAACGTTCACAAAACTGTTTCATCGTCATATTTCCCGCTTGAAGAAAGGAAAAGCATTTTGAGCTCACAATGATCTGTGCCGATAATGCATGGTGCTGTCGTGTTTGTGCACAACGTCTGCTGTACATTCCTTGAAAAGTAGGAAAATCTAGCAAGGCTCCGCATCTTCTGTTTATCCAGGTCGTATGTGGTGTGAGAAGAGGAACAGATTCATTTGGTTGACTTTTCACACTCTATGTCCCGAGTCCCGACAAATGGTGCATGCAAACTTTCACTTGCATCGTCTGCAAATTCAACCCATCCATGGTGGTTGAAAAAGGCATCCCCCCTGTGTGTGAAATATTTCTGGTAAAGAGAAGACAAGGACTATATCAAAAAAAATATAGATAGCATCCCTCTCTTGAGAGAATACTAAAGCACCAGAGGACGTCCAGATTTTGACTACAAACTCCAAAGATTGGTAACAGCATCAGAAAAAGTAGGAATGCTGAAGATAAAACTCAACTCCGTCGCCAGCCCTCAGGAATTTCGTGGATGAGCATCACATTGATCAGAGGTATTCTGGTTCTTTACATAAACTGCAGCCCATCAGAATGTTACAGAAGACTCGTGGACCTTTCTTTATCTATGAAGAAGACAAAGCAAGCTGTTTCGACAAAATCAGTCTTGCTTCACACGCAATGAGAGTCTAGACAGTAGTACAAAGGCTTAGGTTCATGGACGGAGCTTCTCATGTGCTGGTTACGGTCAAGGCCATAAAAGGTCCACTTGCTTGAAGGAGTTCTTTATTTGCATGTTCACTTCCACAACTTCGATTGACTTCCAGTTTTCAGCTTTTGTACAAACGAGCGTTTCCATTTCATCCCTAGACAAGCAATGTATGATTAATCAGTTTTTCGGATGAACGATGGATGGTCCTTAGACTTGTGAAGACAACCTCAGGTGGAAAAGAAAATGAAGCAATGCACTACCTTCACTTAGTCTCTTTCCAAACAAGCTTGGGCTTTCCCTTGCAAATACAAACCTAGAGCTAGGTTCTGTATTCTTGTGTTTATCTGCACCGTTCTCGCATAAATTTTCTTGCCCCTCCTCACAACCTTCTTCTTCTTCACGCGCATTTTTTAAGGCTGACAATTTAGCTCCTCAAATCCTCACGATTTCAAAAGAAAGGGTCATACAGCCGTGTCCGGGTCACTGAATTAGGAACTTATCTTTGGGGCAGAAGTAGTGACGTAGTGATTTAAGCCGCTACTGTTCAAAGGACCCTTCATTATGTGGACACAACGAACAATGTCTAAGTCATCGAAATGTTACCAGAGTACCTACCCCACGAAGCAACTCAAAGTGGCGGGACATGTAGGCAAAAAAACAAAAATGTTGAGCATATGTTCACCTAATATGACTTGTGGTTGGTCAAAAAGTGCATCCTTTCCTCTGAATAATTGCTCAAGCAAAAGCCACGTGTTTTGTTCTTCAGTGTTGTAAGTTGATTCAATATCAGTGTGAAGGTTCGTGCCAGGTATTATTCGCTTTCTCCGTTCTCTACAAAACATGCAGAGATGTCACGAATACAGATCTTTAGAATGTTCTTGGCAAGTCCTCATCAGTAATTACATAGGGTGATGGACTCTTAACACACACCTCTATATATATATATATATATATATGATTAATTGATCACCGTAAATCTAATAACAATATAATTAAATCCAAGGGCGTATTGCATCGCAGTAAGAACCGTTTGCAAAAAAAAATTGGTGATCATTTTCTGAAGGTTTATAATTTATATTTTGGATTTAACTTATGACATTCTAGTTTCTAAGTTTAACCTCGAAAGTGGGTTTGTAACTTTGAACTCATCATACGCTTATAAATTTCCCCTCGATTTCTAATATTAATCATTTTTACCGAGACCATCCTCTTGCTTATAGATTTGATTTTGTCAGAGCAAAAAATATACCGTTGTGTGTATTATACACCCTAGAATGTAAACTAACCTTTTTTTAGAATTGACATCAGATGGACAAAGTCCGATGACAATTCAGTTGCGAAAAGGATATAATATATAGCAGTAGAAGGGAATTGACTAACAGAAGCGAATATGAGAAATTAGGAAGAAGAATGAAGACAATTTGATGGTATTTAGTGGTACTACATAAAGGTCAATTTGTAAAGTTCATGGCCGCAAGTCTAATGATTTTAGGTTGTGAGTTTTCACTATTGAAGCTGTTTCGTGTCCTGTTGCGTTCGCTTCCATTCCCATGGTGTGTAGCATTTTTGTAGTTCCGTCTCCTTAATGTTGTAAAATTTTGTAGGAAAAATTAGTCAGACGACAACCCGTACAAATTTGCTACAACACGAGTCTCTTGACACAATGCTTTCCAATTTAGACCACTCGAAAACTGCTTGGATTCTTAAGAGCATTTGAAACTACGGCTCTGTGCAGTTTCATGACATTCTTTTTTTATACTTCCCGGTTGAATTAAAATGGAGAATAGATGGCAGAAGTGACAGGATAGTACTAAAAGTTCACAACGTAAAATCACTAGAATAGCGGCCATGAACTTTACAAATTTAAAATTATGTAGTTTAAATTGGACAACATTAGATCATCTGCAAATGTACTTGGAATATAATGCCCCGAGGATTTAGCTTTTCAAAGGGCCGGAACCTTTCTTTCCTTGCGATCTACAAGTTTTACTTTAAGGTTTCCGCTCATTGCTGTGAGGACCGAACGACACGATTTCTCTGTGATGGTGAGTCCGAACGATTACCCGTGTTATGCCCCCAAAATTTAAAATTCCTGAATTCGAATTCAATTTTGAAAGATAGCACGGCATATTGTAACAGACTGGTCCTTTATCGAACATGATTAATTTTCAGCGACAAGCTAAATCAAGCATCAGCTACGGAGAATCTTGGTGCATCCTGCTCTGTACAAGGGTGAAGCACGTACATGTCTGTCAAATTCACCACAATGTTGGAACCAGCAATGTATGGTAGCAGCATGAGCCCGGAAGTGCAAATTGTTCAATCCTTCAAACGAGACATGAAAATGAATAATATGAGACTTGAACTCTACAGAGCAGTCATCAAACTTACGTCTCTGTGATCTACGCGTTCCGAGTATTCTATTACAGCTAGTAGTATTACCGAATGAGCCTTGATCTTCAGAGCGATCTGAAACACCCCAAACAAATGTCCTACTCTATGTCCTCTAGGTTCGTAAGCACCTGCGAGCATTTTGATGGAACCGCGCTGCAAGAGAATCCAGATTGGACCATGTATTTTCTATAAGCGATGCTAAGTGCTGAGACAGCAGCGAGCGAGGCTTCGGTGCGAACCCGCAATTCAATCTCATCAATATAGGTAAACTTCCCACAGGAATGTGATGGAAGGAGTGCCTGCGCCTCCAGCTGCTTTAGTGTTGATCGCGTATCCTCGCTTCATTCTGAACGTTCCTGTGCCTCCGACAACAGTCCACTCGTTCGAATGTGCCTCTGAAGCCCAGTCGCTGAAGACGACGAGTGTTCCGTTCCATTCTTTTGTCTGGAGGGTCAACAATTTGTACAGAGCGAAGGTTCTGTATTGCTTGTTCGGCTGGAAAGTCCCTGGCGCACGGCCGATGATGGTCGAAGTGTTGCTGACACCTTCCCTGATAACCTGCTCTGAGACGCCGAGATTTCCGAAAGCGTAAGTTGAAGTATTGCCCGTGGCTGATGCGGCGAGAAGATCAGTAGCTGGGTATCCTGGTTCACTCACGAACTGCTCGTGCAAGTAGAATTCTAGCTTCTTAAACTTCTTCGCATCCACAACAGCTCCACTCCAGGACATGGCAATGACTGCCATCAAAAGAACCGCAAAAGCCTGCGGAACCATTGTCGCCATCCTCATCGCAGCTTTCACAGGGCAAAACTCGAAGATTTAGATCTTGTCGACACGAGAAGAAGATTGATTGCCTCGTGTCGAGAGTAGAAAGAACTTATTGTCCTCAGTAAGAATAGCTTGAAAATCTTCTTCGGTCTCGAAGAAGAATCGAATCACTCACTCTAGAATTGGTCGTTGTCACAAAATGAAGATGAATGTTTCTCTTCTATGCGAGCTCTCACATTTACTCCGAGCCTCAGAGTTGTCAGACTGCTGTGGAATCTCACATGCTGCGAAGCTCTTTATAACTGTGCACAGTCTGTACCTTCTGCAGACAAGCCGCCACTGGAAGCAGTGAGAGCAGGGCCGTAGACTGCTGGGTCCAGTTACGCTCTGTCCGGATTTCAGCGCAGACACTCTTTCACTCAGTGTACATTTTGATCAACTAGTCCCAACAGCAGTTGCAATTTCCAATGCGCGAATTTGTGGTATTTTATTCTATTAATTCCAGAACAAGTTCGATTCTGACATGACCCTAGACCGACTGATATTGTATTTTAATTGATTGCAGGTAAGACTTGGATCCAGAAGGTAGAACGGTATCTAGGTAAGCCTTTGTGTTTGGACCCGGGCCAGCTCCTTCGCCTAATAGAAAGTGCGATCCAGAGTTTCCCCCCCGTTAACTAGAATTTCTCTCCAGGTGGAACGAGCCTTTGTTACAGCCTGAAATCGAAAATCTCGCTAAGGCTGTAATGCATCCGATGCCTCATCTGCTTGATCGGTGCCACAGGCCTCATCCTAACGGACCAAGATGTTTATCGTGTGCTTCGAAGGCCCTCAAGTCAAGGGACGAGACGTCACGTTGGAAACTTCCTCAGCCGAATTCCAGAAGACAACTACGTGGGTAATATGATGGAGAGAGATTGTCCCGAGAGATATTTTAATACATGAATGTATCCTCTTGGCTGGTGCGGATCCGATCTCCTCAGATTCTCCTTTTGTGTTTAGCCCGATCATGCTCATCAACGGACTATAAAAAGTACACTTGCCTTTTTTAAGGACCGCACAGACTGAGGTTGGTTGGTCCTTACTTACGTTCTTGGTGACATCAGCCGGGGTTCTTCGCTGCTCAAATTACTCATGTCATCCAATCATACATCTGGATCGATACCGCTGCCACAGACTGCAATATGGTACGACCACACATGAGAGTTTTGAGCTAAAGCTTCCTCGTAGGAAATGAGAAACGCGCAGCATGTACAATCCAGGGAACAGAGTGGAAGAGTGCCTGCATCTTAAATTCTCCTCACGTCTTTTCGAAAGGTTGGAACTATACTGCGTAGTATGCCACAGTCATCTTGGTGACGAGGAATTCCAAGCATAGTAGTATATTGGAATAACTTATAGGGCGGCTGTTCTGCTTTTAGCGTATGAACTTATGGGGAGACGGCGGTCAAGGATCGGGCTGGTAGCTGGAGTGACCATTGCATGCATAACAACCTGGAACCTGATTCGATCAGTTTTTGCATAATTTTGTATTGAAAGATGAACAAACTATAGGGTTTACTCTTAATTATGGGAATACCCTACAGTTTTAAACCGTAAACCCTGAAGGCTATTGCTGTGCTCCATAACTCACCGGAAAGATGAATTTATCTAAGTTTTAACGATCTCCTGCAACATGATTACGGTACCATGCAAGAGTATTTGTCATGTATGTATAAAATTTACACTTTCACCCTAAAATGTCAAGTGTTTATAAAGATTCAACAAATCCCATCAATTATGTCGAGGACTTGTGTCAATGAAGTAGGCAATCCAACATTATCTATTCTCTATTAGGGAAGTTTCCAGTTTTTTATATGATTTGTGAACCTACAAAATTAAAAAATAGAATAATTAATACTCCCAAAATTTCAAGTGTTAAACTACGTGGTATGTAAATGGTGATAGACCAAGTACACGTACCCAAAGGGTCAAAATGTTGAAAAACACAATAGCGAAAACCACAAACAAGGGAAAAGACCCCAAAGGCCAAAGCCTAGCTAGTGCCAAGAGCATTAGAACGGTAATTAATAATGTTCATAATATAACAACTTAAATAAAAAAGAATTAACTGTGACGAAGAATAGAAAATTTTCACATCTATATTATGAGCAAGCCTAATGCCTTCGTACCTGGAACAAGTAACAAATACATGCTCTTCATATTCAATGTACCCACCGTCACATAATTTACAAATAAGTTCACTCTTATCAATATTAAGCCAACGTTATTCCTCAATTCCAAGCCTATGAGATCCAACTCTATGCCTATCAATAATATAACGTAAGGACGTAGAGATTCCTACAAGTAGGTAATCATGTTCACAATAAACAAGCATAGGATTTACATGAAGTTGATAAAACTACATCTTCGTGTCGCGCTTGCTCCAAATAATGTTCAGAAACTACTCCTTTAGAAGTTCACGTAGTGCTATAAGTTGCAAGTCCCAATCATGTTCCGTCACATTCCATCTCAAAGACCAAGTTATCACATCCTTTGACACGTGTGGCACTCAAAGCTTGAAGAGTAAGGTGAGAAGCATCAAGAGATCTCACCCTTCTGATGTAAGTGATGGTCAAGTATAGAGCTTCAACCTCTAGAGGTAAACAACATGTTTTTGCAAGAATAATAGCATTTGGAGTTTGATTTCTCACTCCCAATTCCTCTTGTAGAAATATCTTCTGCACCCTCTCCACACGTTCCTAACCTGTCTTCTTTGAACCAAAACCCCACACTTGGGTTTCATATAATAATACCGACAACACTAAGCTTATGAATAAAATTTTCATAAGACTCCAAGACACTTGATGAGCCATTTTACACCGATTTAATAATGAACATAGAGCTTTGTAACCATCTTCTACTCTCTTTTGCACGCAACATGCCCAACTATAATCATTAGAAAAAACAATGACTAGATATTTATAACTCTTCACCTCTTCTAATTGTAGATCCTTGTAATAGAAAGAGAATTTAGATCTAGTGTCCACTATCATGACTTTAGACTTCTACATATTTAACTTCAATTTATTCTTGATACAAAAGTTAGTCAAAGTGTATAGGTGTTTCTATAAACTAATTGCATCACATGCTAGTAATATGATATCATCTGCATACAAGAGAGCTTTGATAACAAAGTGTTCAAGCTTGAAACTTTCACTATCACATGACTCCAACAACTCTTCGATATCATCTATAAAAATTCCAAATAGAGTAGGAGAGAAAATATAACCTTGAATCACTTCAATGGTGCTCAAAATCTCTTCAGTTTGAGAAATGTTGATCTTGCCTCGAACAGCATGGTATAATGTGATCACAGCTGCCAGAAGATCTGATAGTATTCCAATGACTTGCAACCTTTCCTATAATAGCTCAGAAGATACGGTATCAAAATCTTTCTTAAAATCAATGAAGGCAAATCAAAAATTTCCCATCGCACTTCAACTTCTTCCATAAAACACGCAAGGCGAAGATATGATCAATGGTGTTGTATGTAGGGCAAAAACCTGCTTGAAACCACGCTCTCTTTGGATGAGATTCACTCCATGTGTTCAACTTTGACTCCACCAATTTGCCAAATAACTTGGCAAAAACACTACCCACCATGATAGTGCGATAGTTTGTCATCAAGTCATTCCTTCGTGACTTGTGAATAAGAACAATCTTCCGTAAAGACCAAGTTGAAGTTAAACCATACATATCAACATTCTATAATGCTTTAATGAGTATTGGTCCAATAACATCTACTCCCCACTTTAAAAATTCAATAGAAATATCATCCAAATCCTCCTATTTATCATTTGCTAATTTCTTGAGTTGATTTATCACCTATGATTCAAAAAATAAGCCAGATATTACTTTATAACAAGGCATTGATGCAACGTCAGGAAAAAAAATAAAGTTTTTTAGCAAAGTTAATCAAACTCTTGGAATCCACAGTAGGTTTAGAAGACCGGGATGTATAGTATGGTACATATTGAACAATGGGACTAACACAGGTAATTAATCACTTGAGTATTACATTAACTTCAAGTTTTAAGTAAAAAGGTTGAATTCTAGTCCATTTTGTTATTGGGCAGCTGATCTTCCAATTGGAACATTAGATTATATTCGAATCAAGATCTCATATATATGCAGTTTTACTACAATTGTATAAATTTTCAAGATAAAATTTGGAAATATAACTCATTTCATAAATTGACTTTCTATTTTGATATAAAAGAGGAAAAAATTTATCTTTATGAATTCTTGATTCAAAAAATTTATTGAGAAAAGAAATTCAACCGTACATATAAAAAAATACCATGAAAATTTATTATACTAGATTATTATTAAAAAAATTATACTACAGATGAATCATGTTGAAAAATCCATGTTCAGTGTCAGCAGTTGAATGATACATTCAGCTATTGTGATCATCTACGTCATTATGATGATAATTCTTCAACCTCAAAATTTGAAATCCACAATTTAATGTATGGACAATTCTCCTTGCCACACCATTACTTTAAAGATGAAATCCTACGGTGTAAGATGATCTATTTAATACATATTTAGGTAAAGAATTTTAGATTGAAGAAACAAGACAAAAAACAACTCTACATAGCTTCCACTATTGCCTTGGATCCCCTTTCAGATAGTGAGGAAGGTTAGAGCTTTTTCGATCTATCTTTATGTGTCATCAATTTGTGAGTTTATATAAATATAAATATATATTGGACATTGTGAACGATATAACTCTCATAATCAGCTAATCATTATGATGTGTGGATATAAACGTACCGAATGCTCTGTTTAAGATATAATTAATGCTGAGTTAACTCATGCTAATGCTACGTGTTCCACCATACATCAAAGCAACTGAACATGATTTCACAATGACATCATAAGATTTCAAGAGATCGGCTCCAGATTATCATCTTTAATGGTATAAAGCCATGTTTGTTATTTTTTCTCTAGCTCAGATCGAAGTTTCATATTTATCTCACGACTCGCCTCATGATGTATTCCTGACTAAGTATTGACACTTTACATGCAATTTTTCGGATTTTTAACATCCCATTCTCCTCAAGAAATTGTTATGAGGAGTTTTGCTGATTGCAAAAGTGGATGGAGTGAAACTGACATTTGTGTTGAAATAATTTGGAGTAAAAGATTTCCACTTTTTAGCCTTAAAAGACAAATTTCTAATAACGAAACTCATCTTATGTTAAACACTCCATACTCACAGTTAATTCGACAAAACGTGCTTGTCGTGTATTGTGAAGTTCGTGTGTTTATTGAACCTTTCCACGGAAGGTCGACGAAGCGAGAACAAACCTTAACCGTGGGAATGGAACAGGTCATACACCGTCCGCTAACACACATCACTCGTGCGCTTCTTGGAAGCCTCGGACTTCGGACTTGCGCCAACACCGAAGTCCACCCCAAGTTCTACGGGTCAAGCTTTCCTAAAGACGATCAGTCAAAGGGTCTGCCACCTCTTGTCTGGACTCGTGCTGGTGGTGTCGAGAGAACTGTGACTCTTCGCGTACTTGGCTCCGAAACATGAGTGGTCTTGGTTTGTCTGTCCGCATGCAAGCTGGCCCCAACTTTGGCGGCACTTATGGGGACGGCCAGCGTTGGACCCATCTCCCAATCAAGAAAAAGCGATTCACTCTTCCGGTTCCCAGGTCGTCGGA